TTTGCCTCAATTTTTGTGACACATTGGTTTAAGAATTCAGTGCAACGTAACTCAAAGTTTCATGTTATTGGGTTCTTTTTAGTAATTTAATGTCTGAATATATTTACTACATCACAAATTTCTTGCAGTATTTTTATTAATGATTAGCACAATTCATATGTTATAGTGATATGCAGAACAAAGTGTATTTAAACCTCTTGTAAATAAACCTCTTTACGTAATGGATGATTCTAATCTTACATCCATCACCTATATTATCAACATTGTTAAATCTTAGATTTTTCTTTACTTAGGCTACTATTATCATCAAGCACAACTTACTTCTAATGAAAACACTGCAAAAGCTCTTTATAAATTCTTTAAAATATGGCTGAAAGTACAGGAAGCTCCTATTGCAGTAAGAATATTAGAACCATGGTATTGTCTTGTAAAGAGACTCACTTAGATTTGGCCCGTTTTCTTCATAATCTTGGTCACTCACAATTAAGGAAAATTAAATCAGTCTCCTCTGATGATTCTTCAGGTATCAAGAATTGAAACAGGAAACTGACAGTTCCTTCCTCCCAGCTTAGCGTAAGACTTCAAATGCTGTTTCTTACTAGCACTGGATTAATTCTGCAACAAGTCATTAAGGCTTCAGGCAGCATGAGGCATGCACATGACATGAACTACATGACAGTCACAGAACTCTCTGAAGAGAATTAAGCTGAAGGATTTTTGTCAGCAATAAACACCCTGCTTAGTGATATGGGAAGGTTCAAGTCACTGAAACATCCCATATCTCCACATCTAATAAGTACTTTAAAATTTCTATTTCTATCAAATAAATTCACTTTAAAATACATCCACTAAACAGATCAGTAGAGATTAGCAACAAGTAGTATTAACCTATTCCAAAGACCTATCAACTATTAAAAACCTTCTTTTACACACCAAAAGTACGTATTAGCAGACCTTAAGCAAGTCAGTTAGTTTTTAAACATTGATTTTATGTAGAAAGAGTTGGCATTTATTTTACTTAAGATGTAGCAGATAAACATTTTAAAATATAGTTCTAGTAATTTTTTAAGCTCTTATTAAAAACAAATATTTTTAAATATTAAAGGTTTATTTTTAGACTGGCAGCATGATTTATTCATTCTCTTTCAAATTAAATATGTCACTGTTTTCTAGTTTATGCATTACACATTTTATACCAGCCTTAAACTAATAAAAAGTGTTAAACGGATGCCAGTGATAGGAACAGACTAGTTCCCAGGATCAAATCTTTGAATAACATCTAAAATCTACTTTTCTCTGATCATAACATCTATGCTGCAAGCATGGTCAAGTGTGGCTGTTAAGGTTGAAGGGTTGACTGAAAATACACTAGACTTCTCAGTGAGATTAACTATCTTCCTCCATTGCACATATACACACACACACATAACTGTTGACTATTCCCTCGTTTTCCAATAAATAACATTTACAGAAATTCACAGTATCCATGCTTCATTAGTTATATGATCGCTTCTTCGTAGATGACCAGGTTTGTTATTGCTATTCCTTGTATTTGAGGGTCTTTGATTTTAAAAGAATTTGCAGGAGTTAGTTCTCACATTAGTTTCTAAATAAGAAACTGCTGTGGCAAGATAAATAATACAATGGAATGCTAAAAATACTAGTGATGTCTTGAAACACCTGATACACAAAGCTGCTAAGGAACAAAAAGCTGATCAACTTTACAAAAATTTTACAGGTCTATCTAGACAGTCACTGCAACTATGTGTAAAGAAAACAAACAAGACAGCCAAAATAAATCAAGCCCAGAATTTCTTATAAAACTTCATGCCTTACTGTCTATGTATTCATATTTCCTTCTCCTCTTCAACCATTTACTATCTCCTGACTACCCTTTCTTTGTAATATATTAAAAACACATTAAAAGACACAGGCACATCTTTCTGCTGCTTCGTGAATATTTTGAGTCAGCAGGCTGCACCCTTAACCACGTTAACTTAACATTCTGCCTTTTCTGAAGTACTACTGTGACTAGTGCTACAGTCCAGCCCCATAGGGTGTCACAAATGTCTTCTACTCATTTCACATACATCAAAGTATAATATAGTCAGAAAATACGAAGCTATGGAATTTCAGATTATTAAGGAGCGCAGATCATAGAAAAAGAACATCCCAGGTTACTCCTTTACCACACAGATGATTATCAGGTAAGAATGTGTTAAAGGGGATAAATGCACAAAATTGTGCACTAATTGATAAGTGCCTTGCTAATAAAAATCAAAACTACTTTACTGTTGATCTAATGACTAAACAGCATACAGCTGATTCCCTCAAAAAATTAGCACTGAGTTTGATGGGACAAGTTTGTCAGGTTTTCATGTATTTGGTAGGTTGGGTTTTTTTAAAAAAAAAAATTTACTCGTGCAGTCAAGGAAAAACTACTTGGTTTTTAAGACAGACAATTCAATCAAAACTGATAACATGCTAGATTTCTAAACAACTGGAACAAAATAACATGCTAAACTATATAGGCTAAGTCAAATGGGAAGTTCCTATTCTCATTTTTTTTATGCTCATCTCTGGTCTCAGCTTTACCTACCTGTCACCTTGACACAACCCTAGCCATTCTCAATTTTTGCAATACTCACCTCAACCCAAAACCACAGGAAGCATTTTTACCTCTGCAGCAGTTTGGTTTACTCACAGTTTAGCATGCTGAACCAGACCAGTGAAGCACCTGATGGTCAAGCGCAGGAAAAAGGAAGCAAACCCAGACACAGAGGAAGACAAGGAAAGAAATCATTTACTTCTTAGCCTTTTTCTCAAGGCTGGAGCAGTGAGAAGGGCAAGGAGTCCTTCTCTGAGCAGCAGGCTTTTAGATGGGCTTAGCTATAGCAGCGTTTAGCAGTACAAACATTTCAGAATTCTTTAGTTTTCAGAAGAATAACTCAAGAACAATTATTTGATTATATAGCATTAACTTAACAATTTCATACAATACCCAAAGCAACACATCTTTCACTTCCCAAAACTCTGTCAGAGAGTAGCATTTAATCTCTTCATGAAGTCAGAGCTCTTCACCTATAAATTATATACAAATCAATGCCTTCCCTTTTCAGTGTTTTCTTCTCTACTTCTAATTTTACAAACACACAGGAAGAGTCATACATAAATTTATCCAGTTGACTGATACAGTATTGATCTGTAACAGTATTTAAATAGATCTTGCAACTGTAACTACTAGTCCCCAAAACACTACCTAATCATATAATTTTTTTTTTTTTAATCTCTGGCCTTTAGGGTTATGATAAACCACTGTGAAAGTAGCAGCTCCACTCTTCCTCTCACCTTCCTAAGATTTAAAAATGTTCCAAGCCTTTCAGATGCTTCATATATACATGCAGTCTAACAAATCCTGTCTAACTTTGCCTGTATGTATATTCAGTATTTTGACATGCCATCTGAGTAAACACCATACACCATGCCTCTCTGACTAGCTCTTCTACCAAAAGAAAATTTGTCCAGATTAATGCTGTACTACTAGTCATCCATCTAGTACAAACAGATATCACAGAAACAAACTGTTGAGCTGTCACAGCTTTTGGTTTTTCAATTGCATTTAGTTTAGAAAAAGAAGAGGCAGTTATTAGAATATCTAATGATCGTTTGAATATACTAAGGGAAAGGCAACTATATGTATTATATATCTTTAATGGGTAAGTAAGATTTTAGAGTAGAAAGCTTTGGAAGAAAATAACCCAGCTGTGTCAGCTTGGTGTTTTACTACATTAGCTTCCTAAAATAATGTAAATATATTAAGTTTGTCAAATACCTGTTTTTATCTCTTTACATTCATAGCCCACATCACACAGAATTAGTCTTATTTATGTCACCTGTACCACAAAAATAAGATGCCTTTTACAATCCCCCATTTATTCACCTGTTATCATCTAACAAAATTAATCCCCCCACCCAAACCTTTACAGAAGTATCAATTGTAACAGAGCATTCAGAATAAAGTGCAAGATGTGAACTAGCTCTCAAAGTGGTAGCAGTGATTCACACACCATACTTGGTATTGCTGCTGCAACACGCTTGGGAAAGAGGAAGTGTTAAGAGCCACAAGAATTACTGCTTTCCCAGCAGTGCCTTGTCATGCAAGTGAAGAATCACTCATTTCCCCAGCAACGCTGGCAGAGAAATACTACTGTCCCTGCAGAAGGGGCTGTCCTGAGCAGACCCTCACTCACGATGCCCGAGCTCCACCTCCGGTTTGATTCTACTCCCCCAGGAGGCTTCAGGAACGAGGCCTAGCAAGAAGCAGGGCTCCGAACACGACGGCATCTCGTAGCAAACACCTACTTAACCCTAGACGCTATATCTGATGCAAAAGCACATGGCTGGACAAACACCTGGAGCAAGGCAGGTAAAATTGTGCTCTTCTCCACAGTCCAAATCTTGCCTCTTAGCCCTCTCTCTAGTGTGCTCCAACAGCAGTTAGCTTTTAAGACAGCCTAATGGTTGGATTTGATGATCTGATCTTCAAGGTCTCTTCCAACCTAAATGATTGATTCTACATATTTTCCCCGTTTGTTAAACCGCCGTGGCAGCGCTGCTTCCGCCCGCTTCCTGTCGCAGACGGGAGGCGGACTGACCGCCCCACACCGCCCCAGGCAGGCGCCGCGCCCGAGCGCGGGCTGCTCCGCTCCCCCGGCTACAGCCGTCCATGAGTACTTCCTCCTTTCGGCCAGCGGCGCTGACTAATGGAAACAAAGAGAAACAGGCTCTCAGCCACCCCGGGCGCCAGACTTTCGCCCTTGCCCGAAGCGCACTTCTACACCTGGACAGGTAGCCCGGCATCGGTCGCTGCAGAGAGGCGATGCGGCCCCTCCGCAGTATTCGGGGACTCTCCGTCGGCCCGCCACAGACCCGCTTCTCCGCACGCAAAGAGCCGACGCTCTCTTTACGCGTTGATCACCGGCGCTTCACAACTCTCTCACCAGTGCCCCGGTCCCTCTCGTCACCGTCATCTTCCTCCTCTCGCCGCTGCCCATCCCGCTGCCGCTCCTCGCCCTGCGCCTCCACCGGCACCACGGTGAAGCTCGTCGGCATGCTGCAGACGGCCCCAGACCCACTCGCGCCTCCTCCTAGGGCAGCGGGCAGGGTGAGCCGGGCGCTGCCGCCTCCCTCACGTGAGAGCCATTTCCTCACGCAGCGGGGGGGCGGTGGCCGGCACCGCGCCACTTCCCCCTCACCGTTTGACTGACGGCGCTGCGGCCGTAACTCCGGGCTTCGGGAGGGGAGGGGCTTGGTGTCTGGGGCATCCCCTCTTCCTCGAACCTTGGCTTACAGTTACCCTTGTAGCGCTGAGACCGCCAGGCTGCTGCTCCTCTGATCCCACCAGACAAAAACTGCCTTCCAAACGAAACCAGAGGCAGGCTGTAGGACCTTAATCCTCCAGATCACTGAAGGGATGATAGTATCCAGAAGGCCTAAGCAGGGGATTTATGATCACTTTTTGGACAAGTGGAGAAAGGTCACTGTGTGCCTTTGGACTAGCAGGACATAAAGAGGCTCCCAGAAATCTGCTCTCCTATGCAGCAGCCATGGTTTGCAGTAGACGGGTGAAGGTCCAGAGTCAGCATTTAAACTCTGACCAGCAGTGAAGCAGATTCAAAGAGTCAGTGGATGAGCAGTATATCAAATTAAATATTTATTATGTAGCACTAGTGATGAGATATAGCTCTTGGTTACCTCCAACTTCCATCTCAAAGGAGGTTGTAGCATCTCCACTCCAAAAATAGAGAAACCAGATTTAGAAGCCAAGGGCATTTTTCTTGTTTCTTGTTCTTCTAGCAAAGTGCTAGAATACATCAGAAAGGCTATTCATTGAGTCTGTATATGTGTCTTTTGGGAGAGGACTGGTAGTTTTGTGGCTCCTATACTTCATTGGGATGGAAGATGTATATGTAACACTACAGTCTGTCCCACAGCATAAAGGCCTTCAGAGAAGGGGGTAGGCAAAATTATTCTGGCCATCAAAGGTGGCAGTGAGCTGGCAGGTGTGGAGATGATTGGTGTGAAAAACAGAATTTACTGAATTAGAATTCACTGAAAAACAGAATTCCCTGAAAAACAGAATTCACAATCCCTCTTCTTTGTTTTTGTTACTGTGCTTGTCTTGAGCTAGAACTTTTGCACTTCTGCACTTTTGGCATACTAATACTTTTCATAGATCTTAAATGCCTTGTTTTCATCATCTTTTTCTTTTCTCAATAACATAATTTTCTGCTTTTGTCCTGTGGTTCCCGACTTTGGATGGGTGGGTACTGTCATTATTTGCATGTTTTAGACTACATAAGTGATTAATTGAACAAAGCATGGGATCAAACATGGAATAAAGATTAGACCTGTTATTCTGCATAGCACTACAAGTCCTTCTCTCTTCCACTAGAACATTCCAAAAAAAATCTTCCAGCCATCCTTTATTCATTATAGATTCCCATTTTTGGGAATCACACACAATGGCTATTTTCTGAATGTTTGTGGCTATATCCAAAACTGCATCCCCATTATCATCAATTTGTAGACAGCAATCAGATGTGTTAAACCCCTTCCTTTTCTGCTAACAGAATAGTCTAGTGCTAACAAATTTTGATGCACTGCAGCTCTGGTTTGCCTTTGCTGTTTGACTACTAAACCTATGGCCCCTGCTGTTTCATTAGATATGATTTCTACAACTGCTTGTAGTCTTATGATGCGATTCAACATATAAATTGTGATCTGATGTCTCCAACTCCCATCTTGTGACAAGGTAGCTGGACCATATGTCTGTATTATCTGTTCAGGTGGCCACTCTTCACCACCCCACTTTTGGCATCCTGCAATTTCTCCAATTAGTTCGCACTTCTTTCTTTTTAAGGCATCGTAGACCAGTATTCCCAGATCATCTCTATCTTGGCTTGGCAACAGAAAAAAATCCTGGTTGTATAATTCCCAGAGTCCAACTTCCTTTCCATAGGAGAGGAAGTTCTGAATAAGCCCTTTTCCCACATATCCAAAATAAGCCATCCAGTGCTTTCCAGTATTTGTTCCTTTGGTTATTCATATTTTCCCAAAATTTAGATATTTCAGGGATCCCATAATAGGGATTTTTCTCAGAGTCATTGCACCAGAAAAGTTTAATTCCCTTTTCATATTTGCAATTCTTTTTCCTCTCCTGGGTCCAATATTGGGATATTGGTCCAGTGATCCACCATGTGAAAGTTCCATTATAAACTTTATATCTTTTACAAGAGGTCTGTCCTACATTGTCTGAAAATTCTCTTCCAATAGGTCAGAAGCACTCCTCTCCAGTTATTTCTGAACTTAATATCCACCCCTCTGTCCGATTTTCCCCTTTTATTTTGGTTCAGTTCCATTTGCGAAATTCAGCTGGGCCTAGGCTACTACACTTCCATGGCCATTCTTCAGATATTCCCCCACAAACCCAGCGTCTGGTCACATTTAGCTCCCTGCTGATCCTTTTCCCAGATTTACAAAGAAGTTTTCCCCTAACTTTGATACTTCTATTTCATTTTCCAGTTTTTGTCTGAGTTTTACATATAAACCTCCACATGGAATTGGCTTCGGAGTGGTGGGTTGCTGTGTCTGTTTTCTTTGTTTGTTTATCCTTATTCGTTCCTATATTAAATCTTGTATCAAATCTCATTCCTTTTTCCATTCTCAGGTTTGACTCATGGGGAAACAAATCCATTTGTCTCCTTGTGGACACCCTCTTTTGACCCTACAGTTTTGGTAACTTTATACGTTCGGTCATTTTGTATGCAGGTGTCTACCCGAGAGGAGTTATAGCAGTGGTGGCTAATGAAGGTATGAAAGCTAAAGTAAGAACCTTGGGGTTTCCCATTATATAGTGGTCTGTAGCATTTGCGGCAGGGATAATCTGGATTCCCAAATGTGACATGACTAATAAGGAGTAACAGAAGTCCAGTATAATGTGTACCCCCACCTGCCATGCCTGATGAGGTTGCTGCCCACAGTATGTGGACGTGAGTGGTGGCAAGTATAGTGGTTAATCTGGTCTTGCATTCTGGTTTCCTTATCCCAAAATTACCTATGTCACTGCTTTTCTCATATTGTGATTCTCTGTAGCTCCTTAAATAGTAAGCCCTTATTAAGTTCACTCTCGGAAGAGGGTCATATTATCTTCCCATTGTACAGAGTAGTTGCCTGCATTCAAAATATGGTCTCTGTTTTTTATTTACTACAGCCTCCCACTCAGCTTCTAATAGCTTGTGAATATCAGGGATCATCCACTCAACTCCACAAGAAAGTGTTAGAATTAGTACCTGCCCTCAATTAGTGTTGGAACTTTTCCCTTTATCTTGACAAATTTTGTAACATGCTTGCTGCCTGGGTGAGCTACAGTGCCAGAGCTGGCCACAGTTTTCACACTGACATTGTACTCGAGTGCCATTCCAGCGTGCTTTAAGCAGGGTATGTGATCAGGAAAAAAATCTGGGAGGCGTCTCAGCAGAGAAGGCTAATAGTTGTTATTTCTGCATGTCACAGGCAAAAGCGAAAACTCTAGCCTTGCCTATGGATCCGGTGTTTGTTTGTATATACCTGATATCCCCGACTGGGGAAGTAGCAAACCACTGCCCCTGAGTTTGGAAAGATTCTGGCCTTTGGGAATACAAAAGAATCTATAAAGCTCACGGGGAACTCCCTCCCAGTCTGGACTGATGCAGGGTTGCTCATGGTTTACTTGCCACATTGAGCTTGTGCATTCCGTTTTAAAGTAATTTTCAGTCCTTCTGTGGTGACTTTCTAGTCACAGAGTTCCCTTACTGGTCCTTTTATCCTACTAGCGTGAGTCATCCTCATTCTGCAGTTCATACAGTTAATTCGGTGGTTAGCAGCACCTGAAAAGGGCCTTCCCAGTTGGAGGTTAGAGGTTGGTCTTTCCATGATTTCACCATTACTCAGTCCCCAGGAATAACGCTATGAATTTTGAAATCTAGGGTAGCAGTTTGAAGGATTCTTCCCTTTTCCCAGAGTTCCTCTAAAGTTTGTGCTGTGGACAGGACATATTTCTTGACACAATCCTCCCCTTCCTCATAAGTGGCCATGCTATTGGGGGAAGTCAAAAAGCGTAGACCAAACATCATTTCATAAGATGAAACTTTTAAGTCTGATCTAGACTGTGTTCTAACTCTTCTGACTCTAACTCTGTGTTCTAACTCTAACAAGGCCAGGGGTAGGCACTTGATCCATGACATTTGGGCTTCAATCATAAGATTTGTTAGAGTTCTGTGAGAGTTTGATTCATCCTTTCAACCTGCCCTGAACTATGTGGATGCCATGGGGTATGTAATTCCCACTTTATACCTAAAGTGTATTCCCACTTTATTGTAGTATTGTTGAGGTAAAATGTGTCCCTTTGTCTGAGTCAATGTGATTTACCATTCCATACTGGGGAATTATTAATTCCAGAAGAATTTTGCATACCACATTGGCAGTAGCTTTAACTACTGGCACCACCTCTACCCAATGGGTTAAATGATCTACTATTACCAATAAAAATTCCCACCGTTTCACCTGAGGGAGTTTAGTGAAATCTACTCAAATGCTTTGAAAGGGTCGTAAGGCTAATTCTTGCCCTCCTTGGCAAGTTTTCCTCATGACTTTTCTGTTTACCTTCTGGCATATCACACATTTTTCAGTTATTTGTTTAGCTATTCTATAAATTCCCATGTAGCGCCAGTTTCTCAAGGACTGATCACTCAGTGCTTGGGTACCCCAGTGAGTTTTATCATGCATGCTTTCTAATATTTTCCTGGCCAATGGTTTCTTTAAAAGCTGCCTCCCATCAGATAACACCCACTTCCCTTCAGTGTTCTTTTTTGCTCCTATTCTAAGCAGAGCCTCTTCTTCAGTTTTACTGAATACTGGTACATCCTGAATTTCTCCAGTAGGGGTCAGTACCATCATCACTTTGTCTTCCCCTGGCCTCGGCTGCATTTTTAGGTTCTAAATCTGCTAAATCTCTTAATTCTAAAGTGGTCCCTTTCTGATACCCCAAATATGCAAAATAGCAATTTCCTCTGGCAACTGTAAGGCTTCTAAAACATCTGAGATGAGTCTTTCATGAATTGGTTCTTTCCCTTTAGAATTTAACAATCCTCTTCCGATATTT